CGTTGCGGCTGTTTCGCCAGCTCAACATATATCAAATTTGGTATTACGTGACGCTAACGGACGCCGAAGGTCGTCCTTCGTTACCTTCGTCGTCCGTTAGCGTCACGTAATACCAACCATGACACTTCTAAACATGATAATCATGATAGTGTCATATGTAAAACATTCCTCATGTACTGGCAACTTTAGCCTCATCCTTGGGACCCTAACCCTTTTTAGAGTAGGCAGCTCTCCTTGTTGTGGTGTGTTTACAGGAGCCAGAAATTGGAAGTTCTCCGGTGCAAATGACAACTTGTTTGCGTCCTCTCAGGGGGGCCACTCCGAGTGTTTTGCGGCCGCATGGGAAGCCTTACAGTTGGTGTGGCGGTCAGTGCAGTTGCCTGCTGGCGATGTGCTGCTGATGAACGTATGACAAATGCTGCCATTGTATCGTCTGTGTCGCTTGCGAAAGGATGCGTCTTATAAGGGGGTAATAGCCCCCGCCACCCCTTTGAGCCCCATCTGATGTCAGGGGGGAGTTTATACCAAAAGCCGAGTATCTTGTTCCGTACACGGGTGCGGCGCAAATCCTTGAGAGAATAAAGGCATGACTTTAGAAGAGTGATGTCTGGGGCTGATTGGTTTTGCATCGTTAAAATACTGTGGCGCAGTTACTGGGACGAAAGAAGCTATATAGGAAGGACACACGTTACGAAGCGAACACCACAAATGCAAACTCATTACAAGCGCAAAATTCAGTTGGGAGTGTACTCTTCGTGTCCACTTCGTAAGGTGTGTCCTCCCTAAATTCTTTGTGTCAGTCACTGTAGCGCAGTATATTAATCTTTAAAGATATATTTTAACGCGATAGAGGGTTAGACAGCATGCTTGAAGAAATACCATCTCTCAAAGTTGAAACAAACTTTTTGCTCATGCGCTTCACGGGAAAAAGTTCAGCAGATTCCACGTACTGTGAAGATGTCATGCGAAGCATGGGCAGCGAAGTGGACCTGGGAAGGTGTAAGCAGAAGTTGTAGGTCTGAAATGAAGGCCTCGTGCTTGCGAGGGTGGTAGCCCCGGATTGTGCCACGTAGACTGCCTTCAGTTTCTGGCGCTTAACTACTATTGACGCTAACCCGACATGACGCCTGTATAGTAAGAGCACATATGTATTGTTTATTAAAAAACACCAGCTCTGCACGGAAGCTGCAGCACAGTCACAGTGAAAGCTAGAAGAGCACCCTTTCAGCCTTGTCTAAACACTCATTGGGTAACCACGGCAAACATACTTGCTTCATACCCATTATGCCATTCATAACAAAACTTTTTGTGTAGCAAGGCCGGCATGCCGGCATGCCGGAAGTATGCCAGCCTTGCTTCGTCATACTTCTGAGAAGTGTGGTATTCGATAAACACTCGCAAGGAACTTTGTGCCAATTGTTCATGCAGTGGCTGACGACGATGAGGTGTTGTGCCAGAAGTGAGTATCTGCCACAGTTAATAGGTAACAAGAAAACAATGTTTTGTAATTTGTCGGAGTATTTTATGACCCACTCGTTGCACCATTCCCATTGTGTGATGCCTGGTTGTTCTTTTGCTGTTTTAAAACACTTTATTACTCATATTACGCGATTCCTTCCCCGGCATAAACGTGCTTAATGCAAGTTTGCGAAAGATTCTTAAGCACCGGCGAGGCTTGGTGGCAGAATACTGAGCTGGCACACAGCAGACCCGCTTTCGAGCCCCACTGCAGTGTCCTTATTACTAGTTTCTTTTTTTTTTAGGGGCGAAGCTCCTTGGGGCGTGGGTCTTGACATCCCATGGGGTTTGTTGTTGGTGATGTACGTAGCCACCGGTGGCAAATACCTGCTCTAGAGTGGATATGTGCCACAGGCGATGCAAGGTGGGAGATGGCGGTACTTGGAGTGCTCACTAGATGAACGCACGGATGGACGCACGGACAGACAGACTAGGACACTGATAGACGGATGGATGGACGCGCGGACGGATGGGCACACAAACAGATGGACAGACGGATGGACAGACGGATGGACAGAATTACGGACGGAGGCACGGGCAGACGGAAGGACGCATGGATAGTCGCGTGGATGGATGGAAGAAAGAACGAACGAACGGACGGACGAAAGCACGGACGGGCTGATGGACGCTTCGCCACACTCATCATCATTCCCTCCATGGGTGTGCTGTGATTTTTTCATACTTCGTGTGACAGTGGTTACGGACAGCGACGGTGGCAGACGCGGCGACGGTGGACAACTACGGCACCGCGCATGACCCGAGTTTACATTTCATAACAGCTTTCGCTGTAATTAGATGAGCAGCACTCAAACCACAACTCACGTTTAACCAACATTACGCCTGCATTGGATCTTTTTCGGTAGTAATTACGAGAGCTGGCGTGGCTCTGTGGTAGAATGCAGGAGATGCAGTAGAATGAAGGAGATGATCACGACAGTACCCAGACGTAGATAGATAGATAGATAGATAGATAGATAGATAGATAGATAGATAGATAGATAGATAGATAGATAGATAGATAGAGAGATAGATAGATAGATAGATAGATAGATAGATAGATAGATAGATAGATAGATAGATAGATAGATAGATAGATAGATAGATAGATAGATAGATAGATAGATAGATAGATAGATAGATAGATAGATAGATAGATAGATAGATAGATAGATAGATAGATAGATAGATAGATAGATAGATAGATAGATAGATAGATAGATAGATAGATAGATAGATAGATAGATAGATAGATAGATAGATAGATAGATAGATAGATAGATAGATAGATAGATAGATAGATAGATAGATAGATAGATACCCTATTGCAAAACCCAGCGCCTCTGGGTACCGGCGTCCTGTGCCATGCCGTTTTATGGGCCCAGTATTGCACTGGATACTGGGATGATTGCTTGTTTGCTTGCTTGCTTGCTTCATCCTTTCTTTTGGCTTTTACCCACTAAGGTGGATTGGCCAAGAGGCCGGCGGTTAATGTAAGTTAATAACTTGGCATTATCCAGGTAATGGAAATATGATTACTTTGTTTTGACATGAAGGGGTTATTTTGGCACAATATGAAAAAAAAAAAGCTAAAGATTTGGAGCAGCATGTTTTTAATAAGTGCTGGGTAGACAGCGCAAAACGGCTTTACAGTGTTAAAACGTGGGGCCTGTTAACCATAAATAAATATATTTGTGAAAGAAGTGATATTGAGCGTATTGACGCATTAGAAAATAAAAAAGCAGTATGACAAAAAATCACCTGCCCAGAAAATTTGAGCTCGCCACATTATAATCACCACCTGAGCAATCTACCCACTACACCACGCCAGAACATTCCTAGAAGCCTGTAAAATAACTAGTTATCCAACAAGCATGCCATGCAGCTTCATGTTTACAAGTCACATAATCAAGATAGACGTCATATTCCTTTCTAGATAACAATTGTGTCTTTATTCGGCACTAACGAACGGCTGCCGGTCACCGAATGACATGCGCATATTGGGAAGAGCATTAATTTTTTTAGGAGTTCACATACCAACTCAGAAAAATATGAAATGGTCTGTAGAAATCACCACAGATACCGGCTGTTACTGCCGATTTTTTTTCTTTGATAGCCGTTTCTTTCTACTCGTCAACATATACAGAGGTTTTAGGATAACTTGTTCGATACGTATGTACGTACACGATTAAATAATTAGCAGTGTTCTTGCGCAAGCGACGACCAGACAGTATGTAGTCGGCGTGCCAGGTAGAGATTAGCAGTTATATCGATACCTACAACAAAAAAGCGCCCACTAAAATACTAATACAATCCGCAGAAAAATTATGCCATTGTGTTAGCTGCGCGTACCAAATTACCTATACTGGCAGTTGCGTGTTCTTACACACGAGTCAAAGAAATGTACTGGCTCCTTAAAAAAAAAGGATTCCATGATCATTTCTGCAACTAATTTCCGCATAATTGAACCATTTTTTTTTGTTATCATCTTGTTGAACGAATGACATAAATACCAAAACTGTTGGTTCGCTCTAGTGAGAAGCGGTGGAGGCTTGCGCCAGAGAGCTTGCCTTTCCTTTTTTTTTTCCAGGTGCCACCTACATCGCCGCTGCACTGTCGCTGTCTTTCACCGCTTAGCAGGGAAAAGTAAAATGGTTGTCGGAAAAAAAATTCGTTACCGTAAAGATGCATGACAGAGTGCCTTTTTAGCCGCATTTCATAACACTATACCAGAACATATTTCATCTCTGTCGTGGAAGACAATGTATCAATTAAAAATGATCAGTATTGAAATACATCGGCCGATGAATTATTGGAATCTATCCGCCAATGAAGTCAAGCAACATATCCGACTTATATTTGAGTTTGTCCTTAATAATACTGGTGTCTATGGTAAATAAATAATAAAAACGTAGGAGACACTAAATATTGAGCTGTACTGCTCTTCTAGGACATTTTTTTTTTTTCTCATATTGAATCTCAGTAGAAACATTCACTTCATGGCAACATAGAGTACTATACAGTATAGAGAAACCGGGGCGTAGCCGTTATTTGATTTCGGAAGGTGTCCAACTTCCGATATGTCTGCGTTCGTGCGTGCGTGCGCGTGTGTGCAAAGTGCGGAATCGTCGGATGAGTGGAGTGGACTTGAAGTTACGCCTAAGACGAAGCTCCTTCGTTTACCATTACTTTTAAAGGGACAAGACGAACAAGCAGGCGTAATGAATGTGTGACACGTGCGCTCGCTGAGTGGTGTGATAGGCGTTGAGCGCGACGTAGGCGCAGCCGTGCTTCCGGCCAGAAGAGCCGACGTGACGAGCAGTGTCATCCGTGAAAGGAATGGCCGTCAGGGGAGGGCCCTCATTAATGGCGCCTCCAGCGCGACGCCGGACAAAAGCCTCTGCGTCCCTTCTGGCAGCTTCGCCAACGCCGGTATAACTTGCGGTACCTGAACGCGCCGGGGGTCGTCATCAGGTGGCCCTGGAGACAGGCGTGCAAGGTCGTCCTTGCACGACTCTCGGGCCGTTCGGCTTGGCTGATGCCCCGAGACGGACCCTCTTTCCTGACCGAAAAAGAGCTGCGGTCTCATGGGCGCCGCCCGACAGTGCCGAGAGACGCGAGTGCGCCATGAAGACGGCTCTGTTGCTCTGCCTGCTCACCGCCGTGGACCAGCGCCAGAGCACGGCGCACCATCACTCCGCGCCACAGCCGCGCACCGATTGTCACCACCAGTACTGGCTGTACCAACCAGCGTCCACCGCGGGTGGCTTCCAGTACCCTTATTCGGGGCACCATGGCTACCAGCCGCCCCACGGCTATTCCTACGCACCCGGCTATCAGCAGCCTGGCTATCAACCACCTGGCTATCAGCAGCCCGGCTACCTCGATGGCCGCCACATCATCCCACTGCCTCCACTGCCACCCCCGCCACCGCCTTCTTCCCTGCCGTATCCAGGACCATGGGTCCCATCATACCCAAGGCAACCAAAGCCGAAAAATTTGGACCCATTCCCAGGCAAATTCCTTGGCATGGGCACGGTGCGTTACCTGAACGGAGGGCGTGACGTCGAGCTAGTATGCGACCTGCACGGCAATCAGCTGGTCTCGGTAAAAACGCTTGCTCTTCGATTGATATCGCGTCCCTCACAATGAGCGCTTTTCACTCGTTGAAATAATTACTGCTTTTATTACTAGTAGTACCCGGAAACATCTCGTGTATGTTCACACTGTACTGTGCTGCAGCCAAAAATGCCATATACTTGATAACACCCAACATTTAGCGTTAATGATTGATATGTGGGGTTTAACGTCCCAAAACCACCATATGATTATGAGAGACGCCGTAGTGGAGGGCTCCGAAAATTTCGACCACCTGGGGTTCTTTAACGTGCACGCAAATCTGAGCACACGGGCCTACAACATTTCCGCCTCCATCGGAAATGCAGCCGCCACAGCCGGGATACGAACCCGCGACCTGCGGGTCAGCAGCCGAGTACCTTAGCCACTAGGCCACCGCGGCGGGGCAACATTTAGCTGTATAACAGAACCATACGCAGAGCTCCACGATCCCTATAGGTGTTCAGTTACGTGGAAATGCGTTACCTTTCATTGTACAGTTGGCGCCCCAGCGAACAGCATTCCGTGCACGTCCTACCATGTCACCAATTGTCGCGTGCAATTGAAACATGTCCTAATTGTATACAACTTCCCAAGTATACAACAACCCATCCTTTCTATTTGCAGAGTGGAATAATTTGGACTCCCTTTGCCTAAGCACACAAAAAAAATCTGCATCTTTAGTTTGGTGCTCTCTTTTTTTTTTTTCACTATGCGCCACCGCGGTGCATATATAGTGCATGCAGTGCTCGGCTTCCGACTTGAATGACGCGAGTTCGGTTACGTACGCGGCGGTCGTATTTCGATGGAGGTGAAACGCAAGAAGTCCGTGTACTGTGAAATGTCACATTACGTAAAAAAAACACACACAGGTATAAATTGTTCGAAGCCCTCCACTACGGCGTTTCTCATAGCTTGATTCGCTTTGGGACATTCAACACCATAAACCAACCAATAGACCATTCTTTTCTGCGTTATGTTTTTGATGAATATCCTTTAGCCAGACTTATTCCGGCAGTTTTAATTCGGGATAAACCATGGAAACAACCTCGCCTGCATGCTTTTGAAAACCCAGTCATAATATGTTGCCTGTTAACAGAGAATAACGCAAGATTTTATGCAAGCATACTAACAGGGCATAGTCATGCTTGCATAAGTCCTTGCCACAAAATAGTAATCAGGTCGTAGATAGACGGCACACTGTCTCATCTACATCAGCCGTGCAAGCTATTCCTTGTCCCTTAAAGAGACCGAATCGACTGTATGAATTCGAATATGTCAGCACCAAGGTTACTGCTAAAACTCGCTGCATGGCGTATCTAATCGTCTCCCTAAGAAGAAAATATACAGCTACGCTTTGAGTGACACACAAGTCCACTCAAAGCTGTATCGCAAGCGACCTCCCTCCCCCCCCCCCCTCCCACCATGCACACGCCCCGTAGTACAAAGACACAGGTACACTAAAAACAGCACATGTGGCATCTGTACAAAGCTTGTTTATAACGTGATGCATGCTTTTAGGCTACGCAACATCAATCAATACAGAGTCCCCCAAGGGCGTATAAAAGTGGGTTAGCTATGCTGTATTGGTTGCATAAATGGAGACAAAGCCTAGCTTCATCCCTCCCTAACCAGATCAAGACGGCCTGTACGAAAGAGGACGATGCTGGACACGCATTGTTTAAGGACGACATTTTTTCTCTGATTATAGAGGTGTATATACATTGCAGGTTCCCTATATATGAGCCCTCTCAATGTTTTCTCACATGGTGGGCGTACCCAGGAGCGCAGAAGAGCTATTGAAAAGTCGTTTTAGAAGTCTAATCGCGCACGTCAAACGAAATGCTTTGCGACAAACGACTGTCGTCTTACACGGTCGTTTCAGTGCGTTCTCCTTTTTAACGGGATGAAAGACAGACAAACCGTACTGCGATGCTGCACGGAACCGCATGACAGAATGGTTTGTCTGGCCATTATTACAACGGGCATGACGCAGTCTTCATACCAGAATCTCCTGTTAATTTACACGTCAGTCCAATTCTATTTGTTAATAAAGTGCACAGCGTGCTCGATAGAAGCAATCAGAGTTATTTACGCCCGTAACTGTTCGTAAAGATGAGCTTCTTCTTTCCAGAGTAGCGAAATACATAAATGAAAATGGAGGCTTCATAACAGTAACATGGATGCAGAAACATAATGAAGTGACCATGGCAAAGGAGGCTTCACATCTTTGGTGAAATCCAGACTTCTGTCCGGCCGTCCTCGTCCGCATAATGAGAGCACCCGTGTCATGTGCCTTTGTACATACCATGTAGTTGCCATCATATACGTGTGTACGAGGAGGGGGTTATGGCGCCACCCCCACCCCCTAATTCATCTAAGGGTGGTGCGAAGTCTGTCCCATTGATCCGAACCACTGACCAGTCGTACCTGGCAGGCTGTTGTTTAATTATTGTGCAAGGTGATGTGCAGTGTTTAGTGCGATGACCATGAAGCTTTTCTGGTGATAATAGCGGTAGAGCTAGGACTCCGTATTTTGTATGTATTCCAAAGACTGTTTACTTCCTGACGTCACCTTGCATGAACTAAAGGCAGGTGTTTGTGATGAGCAGCACGTCATCACTGCGTCCTTTCGGGATCGACTGATAGAAATGTCGAAGATCGAAGACGGGGGCGTCTGCGGTGGTACTTGTCTCCCCCTGACAGAAAACCTCGCGCACGCCTACGATTGACATGCTGGTTAGCGTGCTATTATCCCCTGAACTGTTTCATGCCATGTATCTAAAGCTTCTTGGCCCCTCCCTGACGATCCGTGTCGATTACGAATGCACACTTTGAATCACTGTTTCGCAGAACGTGGTGTGGGTGAAGGCAACGCATCCGCGGGGCCAGCCGCCGGTCACATGGCGTCCTCCACCGCCCAGTTGTGGGCCGTGTTTCTGCCCCGTGCAGTATGGCTGTGTGTACCAGCATCTGGATCTGGCCGACAGAAGATTCTTTGCCGACACCAAGGGTCACCACGCCTCTCTGACTATCTACGGGGTTTCGCCGGCTGACTTCGGTGTCTACCGCTGCAGTGCTACCAGCTCGCCAACCGGGTTGGCCGCGGCCCACACCGAGACGGTGTACCAGATCGTTCATTTCACCGGATAGAAAGGGGCTCCGGCACCCCACAATGATGCATCACCACAGATGTTCACTCGCGGCGTGCTCTCCAGGACTCTGGTCTTAGGAGAATTAATGGCCGCTGAAGTTACGTTTAGTCCGTCTTTTATTTATTAGGTACGTAAAAGTAGTTCTCACTGCGTACGGCTGTACTCGCCGACTGATGGAATTTGTGTCCGTTTTGTTGACGCTTAGCTAGAGCACGTATTTTTTACCACATTAAAAGTTGCTGAGAAAAAATAGAAATATATACCTTCACCCTCCTCTTCACCCCCCGTCACGGGAGCCTCATTCAAGGTGCATTCCTCACCATCCAAAGCACCTTTGCTTTTGCGACATACGCCTCTTTACGTATTATCGATATATGTTTTGATGAGTTAAGTTATTATGTATCAACCCATCATACTCTTGATTTTAAAAGGAGTCTTACGTACCATCTACACGTTGCTAAGGCGAATGGGGGCACCTACAAGTTGAGTACGTTAAGAAAAAGTCACATTCCCGGTCTTATAAAATTACTTCTCTTCTCGTGTTACTCTCCGATGTGTTGTCCCTTGAGACACGCGTACACTGCACATTCTGCGGTGCTTGAGCAAGTTCTCTGCGATTATGTCCTTTTAAACAAGATGGTACGGTATATATGCCGCTAAACTCATTTTCATTTATTTATTTATTACGTTATTACAAAGCTTATGAATAAAAATAATTGAATTCCAATGCCCTCTTTAATTTGTGTAACCAAAACCTCCCTAAAGTGTCTAATTAGTCTCCTAATGCCCCGCCACCCACGTCAATTTACGTTTCTTTTATAGCGCCCAAAGTCTCGAGCTGAGTTACTACAGCCTTCTCGCTTAAATGAATGTTGCAATATCCCAACAGGGCATGCTGAACACTTCTTTTGTCTGTCCTACACACCAATCGTGCCGCCACATTGGTATAGGTTATACTGCTCGACCCGCTGGTCGCGGGATTCAATCCTGGCCATGGCGGCCGCATTTTCGATGGAGGCGAACATGCTTGACGCCCGTGCACTTAAATTTAGGCACACCATAAAGAACCACAGGTGGTCGAAATTTCCGAAGCCCTCCTCTACGGCGTCTCTACCAGGCATATCATGGTATTGGGGCGTTAAAACCAAACAATTACTATATTGAACTAATCGTGGTAGCCGCGATTTTTCGCAGAAGCTTTACTGCGTATTCTTATGATCTACCTTAAAGCGCGCGTACGCTCGCACATACATGATCGCTTTCGTTTTGAACTAATAATTATAATTATAACAATTGTCTTCTTTCCACATTCCATTCCTTATTTAAAAATATGCCGAAAAGAAAAAAAAAGTGGGGGACGAAGATTAAGGGTGACAAACAACTAGGGCGGACTGCCTTATTAATTATACTCCACCTCATTACTGGCGTGCAATACAGCAAAGTTGCAACTCGCGTCAAGCCTACGAAAAAAAAAATTAGAAGGGCTCTTCCATTTTTTGCCTTTGAGCTCTCTCTACGCGGCAACGGCTGAAACGAGAGGATCTCAAAACAACGGGCGAATACTGCTCCCTTTCCTGGAACAACGAACAGCGGCTTCTGTCACTGACTGATTTTAGCCTTCACCGCTTCACACGCTATTGGAGAAGTAGCGTACAGCTTTTGGATACGATAACTTATTTTAAAGACGACAGTCTTTCTTGGGTACCTTCGACGCAAACATGTTGGTCTATCTGTCTGTCTGTCTGTCTGCCCTTAACGGTACTCTAAACGGCACCAAAGCGGCCAAACGCTACTTCAAACGGCCGACCCCATCCACAGCGCCCACCAATATTGCTCAAGGTTCAGCTTTCGTACTTGTACGATTGTCAATTAAAAGACGACGACATTTGCTGTGTAACATGCAGATATGGGGCCATTTTTTTCTTTTTGTAGATTTTTCTTCAAATCTAGAAGTGTCGGGTTTCGCCAAAGGCATATGACTACGGTACAGCACACCTGATTTACTTATATTAAACAAGCGCCGACATTTTTCTCCAGTTACTTGTAGCGGTTATAATTTATAATGTTTCTCTAGAATGAAAAACAAAAAAAAAACCACCGGACTAAAATTGTTTAAGTGCATCTTTAACGATTAAGGAGAATGTTACCGACCCCACCCCATTACCCCCTCTTTTTTTTTATGTGTGCGCGTGTTCCGTTAACGGCTCTAGCGGCCTTCAGCACTTACCACAAGGAGATTGTCCTATTACTTCCATAGAAGTGCTGGTGACGCTGCCGATCAGCGTTGCGATAGCAGAGATGTGCTTTTTAACTCTTTGTGGGCTGAAAAGATGGATTCGATCAATCATCGGTAAAGAACGATTGTTAAGCCTCACTATACCCTATAGATGCACAGCAGAGGCGGCGCCATGGGTAGGGCATGACGGGGCAGCAACGACTCGATCCTCACCGCTTCTCAACCCAGAAAAGTATCCTGAAGAAAACAATGGCTTCAAATTTACGTGAGTAGACAAAACTTTATTCAAAACCTGCAGATTGGCGACAAGGCCAATAGGCTATACCAGGGCCTTCGCGGTAAGGTTTAGCCTTTCCGCCATTTCCCGGGGGGAGTGGGTGCTGAATGGCCTAAACTTGGTGTTTGATTTCTGTGCTAGCCAGAGCACCGCGCCAACGCGTCTCAAGGGGGTCCAAGTTTTTGTGATCAAAAAGCCGTGTACTGTGTGGGATATGTTCATAGGATATGTTCTATGTTTGCGTATTCATGTTTACATTTCCCAATTACGTTGCGTGCGGCATATATGCTTTTTTGATAATTTAGATAATACATTCTTGTGTTTAGAAGCTGACAAATTTCTTAAATCAAATGTCTAATTCGACTTAATGTGCATTTTATTTCGTGTTCATATCGCCCTTTTGAAAGTCGTGACTATGTACTTCGGCACTTTGGTTAGTTCATGCCTGTCTCAATTCTATATTTGTGCGCTTTGTGTTCTTTCGTCATTGTGATTCAGTGTTGCCGACAGACTTTTGCGCTAAATAAATTGTTAAGGGCGACAACGCATACTGACCTTCTTTTTTACCGCGATAGCGTTAAGAAGCTCGTTTGGCAGAAATTCCGGCGTCGGCTTCAGCGTCGTTGGTTGTGAGCGAAAAACCATCATCTTGTGCATGACCCACTTATAACAGAAAATTTTATTGTTATAACCGATAATTGCTATAAACGAGTTGCACGAAAAAAAAATCAAAATAGGACGGCAGGCTGCTGTGAGGAAACTATAATCCTGGTTGTCTCGGGTACTCAACAAACATCTGTAGAACTCATCTGCTACTGCAACTATCCCATTCATAGGATTTCCCTCTCTCTCCGGGTTCACCTGAAGCGACCGCCACCCCCTCCCCCTACTATGAGTGGCTGAATTTACCCCTGATTTGAAGCCTACCGGATATTAACCCTTTCTTTTTTAAATTATTGGCAAGCAAGTCGGTACGAAAGCGCGCTCACTGACTGACTCTGTCGGGGTTGCTTCGCTTTCTGAGAATTTTTTTTTTTTTTGGAAATCAGTCGCTACGCGATTCAGCTATCGGTGACTTGTGCTCCATCGTGCAAAACTCAACAAGTTGGTATGAGCCACAGGAATTTGGCAAGCCCCAAGACCGAGTACAGCAGGTGCGAGCGTTGAACGGAAACTCCGCTTGGTGAAGTGGAGCACGAGAAATAGACAGAAAGAAAGATAAAACAGAGAAATAGAAAAAAAACTATAAAAAGGAAGACAAGTAAAAAGAATTATATGAAATAAAAAACACGAAATAAATCAAAAACAGCGGAAGACAGAAAAAGAGAACGTATGCGAAACAAAGAAAGAGAGCGAAGTAGAGATAGAGAAACGTTCATAAAGAAAGCTAGCAAAACATGGAAAGCGAGAAAGATATAGAGGTAACAGACGTGACAAAGTGTGGGCAGCTCCACTCTATAACTGTGAATGCTGGGGAAGTGCACCCTGTAATTGTGTTTCTTTTTACGCGTCATTTTTTTCGCGTGTGTGCACCATGGTGGTTGGGTCACCTTTGACAGTCATCACAGCTCATCGACTGTTTTCCACCCATCTCTACGACTGTGGCTACCTTCTTGTATTTCTAGGGAGGAAGCTACGTGTTGTGGGGTCTGCGTCAGGACGTAGCCTTCAATAATGCCTATTCATTTAAGATTGGGATGGCAGAAGCACGATGTGCAACGACTGCGCCATCGATGAGACTATTGAACACATTTTATTATGTTACTGCCTGGCATACACAAACGAGAAGCTTCACCTCCACCGTGTTCTAAATCAACTCGACAGGGGCGATTGCACTGTCAAGAAGGTATTGGAACCATGGCGCTGCCCATCCCAATTCCGAAAGGCAACGAAAGCGCTGTCGCGTTTCTTCAAAGACGCCGGCCTGTTTCATCCTTTGCGATGTGAAACGTGGAACTGTTACGCGTCAGCCCAGCTCGTTACTTTTTTCTCCTCCTTTATAACTTTCGTTCATCCCCTCCCCCGTGCAGGGTAGCCTACCGGGTCTCAGCCCTGGTTAACCTTCCCGCCTTTCTTCTTATTCTTTCTCTCGCTTGGTATTCTCCTGACGTTGTTGTCGTTTGGCTGCTGTGTCCTCTTTTCTCATACCAGGCTTGAGAAATGGACGTACAGTCGTTCTTCCTCTGCTCGCTTGGCCCTGGCAGCGGGTTCCGGTTTTCGTCGGCACTGCTGGAGTGTACTAGAACCTCTAGAACACTGTAGCACCGCCGCTCTCGGGCGAGCGCGCGCTGTCGTTCTCGGAGATCCTCCTCAGCGGCGTCCATGGCATTCATGGCGGGAAATACCCTCACCTCAGCCAGCCGGTGTCTTTCTATTGGCTCCTGCGTGGGAGCGTTCCTAACGGCGAAACCTTCAGAAACTTTTCGACAACAACGGTAATGATGATGAAGATGAAACTGTGGCTTTCCCTTTGCATTGAGTAGTCACAGGAAATATGCCTCCTGGCCTTCACTTAGAAATGAAAAAAAAAAATTAAAAAAACGCCAGGTCTGCGTCGTAGGTGCAGCACAGTCAAAGCGAAAGCTAAAGGAGCGGCCTTTCAGAGCCTTTTCAAGACACTCATTCGGTAACTATCTTGCAAGCACACTTGCTTGGTACCCACTAGGGCATTAGTATTAAACTTTTGGGTAATAGGCCGGCATTCGCTATGCTATTTTTCGTCATTCTTCTGAGAAGCGTCGTGTCCGCTAAACACTTGCAAGGAATTTTGTGGCAATGGTCCATGCAGTGGCTGACGACGATGAGGAATTAAGGCTGAAGTGGGTATACACCATGGTTAATAAGGAAACAAGAACAAGATTTCGTAAGGGGTAGAGCATCGTACGGCCCAATCGTTACGCTATTCGCATTGTGCGACGACTGGTTGTTCTTTCGCTGTTGTAAAACGCTGTATAAGTCGATTAACGCGATTGATTTCCCGACATCAAGCCTGCCTAAGGCAAGTTTGACAACAACTCACAAGCACCGGTGCAGCTCAGTGGTAGAATACTGGGCTGGCACCCAGCGCACCTGGGTTCGAGCCCCACTGTGCCATTGTTGCTAGGTCATGCCTGTCTAAGACAAGTTTGACAAGTTATAAGCACCGGCGTAACTACGTGGTAAAATATTAAACTAGTATATACCCAGCGGACCGAGTTTGAGCCCCACTGTGTCATTAGACACCTTGCACCACACCTTGGTGTAAGGTGTCTAATTTCGCGCGATGTCGTTACGGACACCGGCGGCGGCGGCGGACAGCATGCAACTGCGCGTGACCCGGAAAGCGATTTCATAACAGCTTTCGCTGTAAAAAAATTTAAATGATGGTAATGCGGGACGAGCTGTACTACCTCCACAGTCAATACTTATGATCTGGAAGCGTTAGAAAAATGAAGAAGTGTTGATTTAAC